CATGTCCTGGGCACACATATAAATTCTGTGCCCAAGACCAGTTGACTCAAGGTCAGATTGCTCCAGAGTTCGTTGTGTTGCCTTAATTTTATGTGTAGATGTACCCTTTGTGTCTGATAGACCTGAGAATTGGCACCAAGTACGGTTTTCTTTTTTTAATCATTACCTCACAGGATGGCTTTCTGAGAAGCTATTTTCTGCCCTAAAGCTGTTGTATGTCACAATAACATGAAAGTTTAGCTCAGAGGCTACAAGAGACTTATATTAGGGATAACTCTAATTGAAAATAAGCTGAGTTTTTCCACAGATCCCATGTCTGACTTCCACCTTGGGAATGCCTGCATTAACTGCATATGATTTATTTTTTGCTTAACATGTACTATTTGCTTAATTATTTATATCTTGCACAGAACTGCTCCTGGCACTATAAAGATATACAATCTGCCTTTGGACTATTCCAGAGATCATATATTTTCTATTAGAAGGATGGGCAGGGATCAGTGATGCTATCTCGCTACAAAATAATATACTTTAGTACACAGAAAACTTCAAATTATCTGACTACCATGCTTTCCATTGGTATAGTGTTTTTCACACTTTAACCCTTTTACACAGAATAGATTTATTTTAAAGCATGTCTTTTTTCCCAGTTGTGTTCCCTCTTGCCATTATGAGCTTCCAAGTACTGTAGAGGTTGCATTAATAACAATCTTCTGCTTCTAGAAAACCCAAATCTGACCTTTTTGTGTGTTTTAAAATAATAGTGCATATGTGTTGTATGGAATGTTCTTAAACTGAGACAAAGTGCAGGATCAGTGCATGTACTAGATTTCTATTTAAACATATATTTTATTAAGTGCAACTTAGTTTGTCTGACAATACATCATTAAAATAGAATTATTGTTAAAAAAATATTTTTCTGTTTTTTTAAAGTTATACAAGAAATTAAGATGATGTCATGCCAACTTTAACATTTTTAATATACAAGGAACTCTGTTTTTGTAGCAGTCACAATTTGGTTACATTACACATATGATTCAAATCTGATTAAACTGACTTTATATTAAACCATTATTTTCTCTGTAGCATGGAACCCACGAGAGTCTGGCTGTGATCCAAGACTGTGGAAACCAAATTGTATCTTGGCTAGGCCTTCTACCTCAGAGACAGCCCCTGGAAGTCTCTGTGACTATCTTCTACCAAAAGGCTCCTATTGTAGCAGGGTTTTGAGTAGTCACTGGCTATGTAAAATAACTCTCAACTTCTGCAGCTCACCACCTGCACAGATGCATATTCAAAATGTGCAATATAAATCCTTACCACAGTTTCAGCTGTTGCTAGCATCCCAGTTTTCTTTTTGCTTTATTCCTCTTGTTGGAACTATTACTTATCTATCTGGTCTGTTCTGACCACTGCTAATTACATTTTTGTTTTTAAGGAGAAATGACCTGAGTCCAGAAGCCTTGCATGGGGTTGGAGAGCCTTTTGCAGGCTGTCAGCCTCAGGTGCATTCTACTTTGCAGAGTAAAAACTATGGAAATATTGAGTTCACTATAAGTTTAATATCTTGCCTCTATGTAAGATTATCTAAGTATAGTCTGTTAATTAAAATAGGTGTGTAGTCTGGACTGGAGATGACCGAGTCTTCTTCTTCAACCCTACAATGCAGCTGTCAGTATGGGAGAAACCAGTGGATCTAAAGAATCGCGGCGATATTAATAGAATTATTGAAGATCCACCTCATAAACGCAAACTGGAAACTTCAGCAAGTAACTAATGCTGTGATTATTCACATCTATTTAAATTCAAATCCTAAATGAAACTTATTATGAAATGTATTCAGTGAAAATTTGGTAACTAATCAGAATGATGATATTTCCTTTGGGATTTTGTGTAAAGCATTGCGTTGACAGTGATATTGCTTACAAAAGAAATGTAGTTGCATTGAAATTCTAACATTGGAATTGGGGCTGTGTCTCTATTATGAAGATGTAGGTGGCTTCTTCTGTTGAATGAATCTTTGGTTTACATAGTAGACCTTGGAAGGCCTTACACACTAATATTTACAAGACGTACATTAGGAATGCATTTGTATAGCATGCTTTATCCAAGTGTACTGTAATAAATGATTATTTAACCCAGCTGCAGGAAAAGATTTCCAAAAATAAATCTCAGAGTAGTGCTGAAAGATTTGGCAGAAATGTAGGTGCTTCAATCCAACCATGAGTTTGCCAATCAGCCTTCAAGCCCTGTAGATTTCTGAAAGATATTTGTGGAACTAGCTGAAGAGAGAACTTGCTGATTTGCAGCAATATGTTTTAAGTGTTTCAACTGTTGTTTAAAAGAAAACTGTCTCTCATCAGAGAACCAAAGTTTGCCAACAGGTCTTCCACAAGGAAAACCAGTTGGATGAGCCAGTCTCCTCAGCTTGATTTCCTCCTTCCTGCCCATTTCAACCCAGTTCTTTCAATTGTCCTGTCTGCAGCTTCAGCTTCTAATCTATGAACCCTGTTTAAGCTGCTTGCACTGCTGATTACTTGCACAAGTAGTTGCACATGAAACTGGTTATGTAGGTTTGTACTCACCAGTAGGAATGAGGATTGTGTTGCTGGGCCCCAAGAGCTTGTCTGTATTGCTGCAACAGCTGATCCCAATGAGTGTGGAGCTGGGTATGCCCAACCCACTAGTGCCTGCTGATGCACTTCAGATCTGAAAGTTAGCCAGTGAGGCTGCTCTGGGCTCATACCCTGATGCCAGTCCCAGGTCCTTGGGAGAGCAAAGCCTTGTGGGGGGCAAACCAAAAAACCTCCTTGGTCACTTTCTAGCTCTATAGCTTTCTTGCTAACATATACTGCTGCCAAAGTTGAGATAAGCCCTAAATCTGCCTATTGCCTGAAAAATATTTGCCAACTTGTTTGCCCCCCCTCCTCCCCAGACTATTACTTGATGCTATTCCATTTAGTTTTGCTTCTTGATCTGTATTATAACCTCGGGCAGCATCACTTGTTGGGGAGTTGTGCTCATATGGTTCCTTCTTTTTTTTTCCTTCACAGGCCTCATATGTTTCCTCACTTTTTCTCCTCTCCCCATCTTTTTATATATCTTATTTCTTATTTTTAGAGTCTTTTCTGATTGAATGGACAACTACAGGCAAAATCAAGTTCTGTCCAGACATTAGCACTAAGTGACCAATTATAACTCTGATTTTGTCAGGGAAATGTCAACATGAACACAAGGTCCTTGAGAATGCTGTTCATTTTCATTAGCTATATATATGTATTCAGGGATATTCACCCCTAGCACATATGGATTAAGTATTGTACTTCACAGGCTAGTTACACAAGATAAACTTTGCCTTTTCTTTAATGCTGGAGGCCAGAAAAAAGACAGAAAAAGTCAATTAAATCATTACATTTTAAAAATGTAATATTTTATAACAATGACACTACCCCCAAATAGTTCTTATGAAGTTACCTAAAGTAATATTTATTTCATACCTGTGCTGAAAAGGGAGAATAGTAATCTTTAAGGGACATAATGTATGCCTTTGATCTACAAACACAGTTCCCAGTGAACACCCACTAAATACAGGTTTTGTGCCTGGGCTTGAGAATAAGAACAGCTAGTCTGGAAAATAGATCTAAAAATGTTATAACCAGATTTTATGCTGTTTCCAATATAAAGGTTTTATTGAAGAAATGACAGAGATTGATTTTATGACATGAGTCTATACAATAATTAGCATAATTTACAGGATGGGATTCTTACTGATTTTTCAGTATAAATTTCAGTTTTAAAAGAGGCTTGGACCCTTCTATATATACAGTGTCCAATGACTCCAAGAGTAAATTTTTGAAAGTTCTTGTTCAGAAACACAGTGTAATATAGTTTCTGTTTAGCAAGAGGCATTCTAGATGATTAATTAATAACTGGAAAGGTGGATATAATAACTGAGAAAACTGAAGGCCCATTATTCACATTCTGTGATTAATTCCCCAGAAAGGACTAGTGCTAAGGCAGTTATTAATATGTGCTATTTAAGAATTTTCTTTTTTGTTGTGTCTTCCATTTTTTATCTTATGCTGCGTGTGCCTAGTGTGTTGAGTTCTTCTGGAGAGTTATAGACAAATTTTAAGTGTCACTAATGATCTGCAGTTCTTATGGATTCAAACAGCATTTGCAGCTGCTCAGTATTTTAGAAAATTGGGTTGTAATTAATAAATATGATTAGATGAGGTCAAAGAAATTATTTGTTACCATACTCTTTAGTTTGTATTTTTGAGTAAATAAAACAAATGAGCTGCTTGTTTGCAACAGTACTTGCCAAATGTATATGATTTAGTTGCTGTTGTTGAGTTTTAATTAGAATTTTTAAATCAAAGGTACAAAACATATGAGCAAGCATAATTATTATCTGGATGTTATAGGTCATCTGCACATAACTCCACTGAAAGATCAAGTGCATTTATAACTCAGGCATGAAAGAAAGATTCATGTTCATTTCTCCATTATTCAACCTTTTCAAAAGAATATGTTCTTAAAGGAATGATGAAGGTATCATGATTCTGTACTAATAGGTTCACACTGGCCCATTTCTTGCAGTCAGAAAGCAAGCAAAGCTTCCATTTTTTCTGAAATCACTGCTAGAGTTTGGAATAAAGATTTGGTAAGGAATATGTGTTTTAATTCAATTCACATTGCTGTTTTGAGATTGAGGATATCCTTCTTCCACTCTGCCCTACCAGCTTCTTAGCACTGAAACTCCAGAGACTTGAATGGAGTTGTGTCAGCAACGAAGTAGTGTAGCAAATGGAGAATCTAGCACTATATCAACTTAGGGAGCTAAGTTATCTGTTTTAGCTACTTAGGGGTGTGCAAAGTGAACCCTATTTGATTTGGATTTGGATTCAGGCTAAATCAGGGACAGTGATTCAATTCATTGATTAAGATCACTGTTCCTGACTCGATTTGGTCAAATCCAAATCTGAAGATTTGATGCTGATTCAGAGAATCAGTGATTCAGACACAGACACAGCTTTAAAAGTTTTTTCTACATACCTCGGGGTACCAGACATGTCTCATGATCGCTGCAATGCTGGGGTGGATGGAGCATCCCATAGGAGTGTGGGGGGACTCTCCATGTGCTTGGCAGTGAACCCAGAAGTGGACCGGAAGTACTTCTGCTCCACTTCCAGGTCTGCCGGTGAACGCATTGGGGGCCCCTGGTGCTTCCCCGTAGCTTAGTGATTGGCCACAGGGGGACCCCAGGTGTTCCCCCAGACCCAGGAGGCACCAGTCACCAAGCCGGAGGGGTATGGGGGGGGGGGGCAGCGCACTCTTTGGAGGACCCAGAAGTGGACCGGAAGTGCTTCTTGTTCACTTCCAGGTCTGCTGCTGAGTGTTCTGGGGAGTCCCCCACGCTTCTGTGGCACACTCCATGTGCCCCAGCATCACAGCATTCATGAACCCCTGCTACCTAGACATATGTAAAAAAAACATTTAAAGCTGTGTCTATGTCCAAATCTCCGAATCTTTCTGAATCTCTCTGAATCAATTTGGAAGGTTGCAATTTGATTCGGAAAGATTAAAGGGTCTCCTGAAACAATTCACATTCAGAGATTCAGCCATTGAATCCGGCCAAATCTCTGCCAAACTGAATCAGGGAACAAAGCTTCACACAGCCCTACTACTTAGGCATCTAATAACAGAAAGTATGGCCATCTTGCACTAAAGAGCAACTTTCCCAGAGAAGAAGGTTTATATTCTTTCCCACCCATTTTACTTCATTAGAACCTTCTGACATTGCAGTGTCAAAATGTAACTCATTTTGATCATTGTTCTATCATCTGGATGAGAGGCTGCTCTGGCCATAGTCAGGAGGTAAGGGCAGGGGCTATGGAGTGGAGGTGACCCCTTGTCCTAGGTAAGATGTAAAATTGTGCCCTGTTGGGAAAGGGTGGTCTGGTGGGGCTCCAGCGAGGGGCTAGGAGCAAAATAGGCCTACAGTCATAGAATCACTCAGTCAACGCTCAGATGAGGGTAGTGGGAGACACCCAACAGACTGCGCTGGGCCTGACCGAGGAGAGGAGAGCTAAGCCCAAAGCTGGGTGAGGCCGGGTGGGATGAGTGTGGCCCCTAAGAGAGGTCCATATGAAAGAGGCTGGATGAGAACCAGCAGAGTGAGTGGGACCCTAGTAAGAGATAGGTAGTATGTGAGTGGCCCTCTGGGGCTGTAGAAAAGAGATACAAATGTGTGCCCAGTTTGCTTCAGCCATAGGCCGGAGAAGTAACACTAGAGTAACATGTGTGAGGCATGGGATCCATACAGGGGAGGTCAGAGCAAGCATTAGGCCCTTGTCAGCAGGGTGAGTAATGGATAGCCTCCCACCTTAGTAACAACTCTCATTTTTTCCCATAAAGGTGTGGCAAGTTAGCAAAGCAGGTGGTTAACCCAGGAGCAGGGTGGCTGGCAAAGAACTGACAAGGAAGCCACCCTGTTACACACCTCATGAGGTTTCTTTTGTCTCCAGTTTGTCTAGGTCTCTCTGAATCCTTGCCGTACCCTCCAGCATATCGGCTACTCACCCCAGCTTGGTGTTGTTTGCAGACATACTGAGGGTACACTCCATCTCATCTTCCAGATGGTTGATGAAAATATTGAACATGCAAGCCCCAGAACCAACCCTTGGGGCACTCCACTTGATACTGGTTTCCAACTAGACATTGAGCCATTGATTACTAGCTTTTGAACCCAATGATTTTCTATCTA